AATTGAGTTGAGTGAGCATTGTGTCTTAGGGAAATAGAAGAGAGTCAGATTTACTAAAGAAAGACACAACACGAATGGTACACTTAAATATATCCATTCTAATCTTTGGGGACCAGCTAGGGTACCATCTAAATGTGGATATTATCACTTGTTGACAGTAATTGATGACTTCTCCAGGGAAGTTTTGGTATTCTTCTTGAAGCAAAAAAGTGATGTGTTTAGGACCTTGAAGGAGTAGAAAACATTGGTAAAGAAGCAGACCGGAAAGCAAGTGAAATGTCTACACACTAATAATGGGTTGGAGTTTTGCTCAGATGAATTCAATAGCTTTTGTAGGGCTGAAGGCATCTTGAGACACTTGACAGTGCCTTGAACTCATCAACAAAATGGTGTGGCAAAACGGATGAACATGACCTTGACGGAAAAAGGTTCGTTGTATGCTTTCAAATTTTAGGTTGCCTAAGTCTTTTTGGGTTAAAGCTGCTACTACAGCTTGTTTTCTGGTTAATCGTTCACCCTCAATTACCATTGATAAAAACCAGAAGAAGTATGGTCTGGTAAACCTTCTTACTATTCCGATTTGAAAATTTTTGGGTGTCCAGCTTATGCTTATGTAGATAATGGAAAGTTGGAGCTTAGGTCTAGAAAGTGCATTTTTCTTGGGTATAAATCTGGTGTGAATGGATATAAGTTGTGGTGTCCAGAGACTGAAAATGTGGTTGTTAGTAAAAATGTAGTATTTGATGAACTTGCTATGGTTCGTGGCTTACCTTTGGGGATTCTGATAAAACTGAGGATAAGAATTATTCAACTCAGGTGGAGTTGAAAATTGGTTTAGAGAAACAATCAGGCGTTGTAGAACAGTCTACTACAAATAAGTTCAGTTCAGGATTGACAGACAGTAATATCCTACCTACTTTGCCTACATCACCAGCACCACGGTATTCTATTGCTAAGAATAGACCTCGCAGACAGATTAGACCTCCGCGAAGTATGGGGAAGCAGATTTGGTAGCTTATGCATTGAGTGTGGCTAGAGACATTGATTCCACTGAGGAGCCCCTACATATTCAGAGGCAATCAGTTATAGTGATTCTAGCAAATGGATAATTGCTATGCAGGAGGAGATGGAGTCATTGAGTAAAAATAACAATTGGGACTTAGTGAAATTACCTAAAGGAAAAAGAGTGGTTCGTTGTAAATGAGTATTCAAAAGAAAGGAAGGCACATCAGGGATTGAAGATGCTAAATACAAGGCTAGATTGGTAGCAAAAGGCTATAGTCAAATTCCGGGTGTTGATTTTACAGATGTGTTCTCACCAGTTGTGAAGCATAGTTCTATTCGGGCTTTATTTGGAGTGGTGGCTAAGAATGATTTGGAGCTTGAGCAACAGATGTCAAGACAACATTCTTACATGGAGAACTTGAGGAGAGCATCTACATACAACAACCAGATGGGTTCATAGTTTCAGAGAAGGAAGACTATGTGTGCTTGTTGAAAAAATCCTTGTATGGATTAAAGCAATCACCGAGGCAGTGGTAGAAGAGGTTTTATTCATTCATGACTACTCATGGTTTTGATAGATGTAATTATGATAGTTGTGTGTACTTCAAAAAGGAAAGTGGTGGATCAACTACATATTTGTTATTATATGTTGATGATATGCTCATAGCAGCCAAGGATAAAGCAGAGGTCAGAAAAATGAAATTACAACTCAGTAAAGAGTTTGACATGAAGGATTTGGGTGCAGCGAAGACGATTCTTGGAATGGAGATCTTGAGGGATAGAAAGGTTGGTAGATTTTATTTNGTCAGAAATGGTACATTGAAAAGGTACTTGAAAGATTCAATATAGTGAAAGTTAAGGCTGTCAGTACTCCCAGCTGCCCACTTCAAATTATCGTCTAACTTGTGTCCACGGTCAGATGAAGACATTGATTATATGTCTCGAGTTCCTTACTCCAGTACAGTTGGTTCGCTCATGTATACTATGATTTATACAATACCTGATTTGGCACAGACAGTTAGTGCAGTTAGCAGATACATGGCTAATTCTGGCAAGGAACATTGAAAAACAGTGCAGTGCTCTTCAAATGCTTGTTTGCATTTCGGTAGAAATTCAGATGGAGTTATCAGTTATGTGGATTCAGATTATGCAGGGGATCTTGATAAGAGAAGATCAATTACAGGGTATGTGTTTACCCTTGGAGGCTGTACTATCAGCTGGAAAGCTACTTTGCAAAATACAATATCTTTATCTACAACAAAAGTAGAGTACATGGTCATTACAAAGGCATGTAAGGAGACTATGTGACTAAGAGGATTGATTGGTGAATTCAATGAAGACTTGCAAATTTCTATAGTATACTGTGATAGTCAGAGTGCAATTTTCTTGATTAATGATCAGATGTTTCACGAGAGGACTAAGAACATTGATGTGAGGTATCATTTTGTGCGTGATGTAATTTCTCATGGTGATATTGTAGTGAGCAAGGTTGATACTAAGGATAATCCTACTGATATGATAACAAAACCACTTCCCATTTCTAAGTTTGAGCATTGCTTGAACTGAATTGGTGTTTGTCATAGTCCATTGGGGCTTGTTTGGAAGATGAGAAATGGTGTTTTGAAAATATATTTTAATTCATTGTGATGGAATTTGGCTCAAGGTGGAGATTTGTTATGGTATGATCCAAATTCCATGTGATTTGGTATTTGGTTGATTGGAGGAAGTCTAAGGTATTTGAGTTTGTAGAGTTCTAATATGGTTGAAGATCAAATTTCAATAATAATTAGGAGTTTGGCTTGAAATGAGACTCTTGGATAGCTAAAGGCATATTTTGGATTCCTTATCCATCTTGGACGCAAATAAAATGTTTTATATGCAGGCATATTGTATCTCCATAATACAACATTCATATGTTATTCTTTATATTTTCAACAACATATTGAGAGACTGAGAGTTTAGATTTCAATTGAGATTATTGAAATTTTGATATTGTAAACGCAAAACTATTTATTATAGTGGATTGTTCTCCTCTGCCATTGGTTTTTTCCCCGAATTGGGTTTCCACGTAAACTCTTGTATTCTTCTTCTTTATTTCATTATTATCATTATATTGCGATCCGTTTCATAATAGTCGGGTTTTACCTTCCTCGCCTAGATGGCGAGTTTTCTTCAAGCTATGAAGCATGAATACACAAACTCTTATGTAGATGATGATTATGATGGTAACACGACCGGCCTTTCCTTGGACACCACATGATGAGGCTAGAAAGTCTTAACGAAAAGATTTGTTAATTGTTGGAACATATTTTGTGAGGCTTCAGTTTAAAAGAATAACACGATCTCGGTAGAACAAGTCAAAAGACATAGGTACACTAAAATCGATAGTCAATGTAGTTGCTAAGTACACGCTTTAGATAATCAAATTGAGTATACAGAAAAAAAAAATTCATGTAGTCGATCTTAAATTTATAGAGAACAAAGTGCCCTACTTTATGCATGGCCTTGCATCTAAATCTGATAGCAACTAATACACAACCAAAATTTTCAATCAAAGAATACAACGGCATGTTTGATACACGGGACAAGACAATGATCCCATCTAATCCAACATATCAGCATTCTCTAAATGCTTTAAGCACTTAAGTACTGTTGACATCGTTTGGACTAAAAGAAGAACAGAATCTTCTGTCCCAAATATATCTACACATCGAAATTCATTCTGGAAAAAATTACATGACACTCATATCTACAATATCAGAAAACAAGCATTCTGATTGCAGTAATATTTTCAGGCATGAAACAGACAATCCCACAAAATGTTACACACTAATTGTTAGAATGGATAGAAAATAGACTTAACTTATACTAGCTTCCATATTATATGTTACTCACATTCCAAACTTCAAAACACTCAGAAAACTAACACCATAAACAGCTACTACTATTATACTAATGAAATGCAAAATCTATAGAGGCGACATCCATTGGACAGTTTAAAGCCGAGCAAGATTAGGCAAAGGAACATCCAATTTTATTTGTAATTCTGTTTACCAGATTTTAATGGAGAATCTCTTCTACTCTTGGATTGGTTGCCATTGAGTTGATGCATTCCGTCTGGTTTCTTCTTGCGCCTTCCGGCTTGAGAAAACCGAGAGTGGTAAGATAGAATAGCAAGATCATTTAGGTCTTGGAGTGGTGTTAGAACCTTTACAACTTCATCCATAGAAGGACGGGATTTAGGATCCCGGGTTAGGCAGTTATAAGCTAGCTGAGAAATCTTCTGCACCCCTTTGATCGAGTAATTTAATTCCAGTCGTGGATCGACTAGTTGAAACACCTTTCGCTTGTCTGATAAATATGGACGAGCCCACATGACAAGATTTTGTTCTCCACTCGGGCGTTTTTTGTCCATCGATCTCCTACCGGTTAAAATTTCCAATAGCACAACACCAAAGCTATAAACGTCACTTTTTGAGGTCAAGTGTCCTGAGAAAAACACAAGTTAAAACCAAGTAGTGATTCTCTGCCAGATGTTAAATCTTGTGTACTAATTATAAAAACTATTTAAACAAGTTAGCCTGCTATTTAGGACTTATTCTCAACCTAAAGAGTTCATGATTTAAAATTATGAGAAATGTTTCCATGAAGGCCACATATCGATTTAACAGATATTAGGTGGTTTTAGTCATTGAGAACTTATTATGCAACTATAAAGAAATGTTTGTGAGCAACTTGCTTATTTTAGATGTTGTGGACCAACTTGCTAATAGGGCAATATGTTGGGGGACCAGCGGTGCAATTTCCCTAAATATTATGTCATCACGAATATAATTTTCGCATTTAAAAAAATTTTGAAATCACCTCAAAGATAATGACATTAATAATGCTAATTATACCTCAAATAAACTGAACATTGCCTTACATTTCTAGGATTGATTAGAGTAATGGTTATATACCTGTCATTACGTATTCTGGAGCAGCATAGCCATACGTCCCGACAACTCTGGTCGAAACATGTGTTTTGTCACCTTGAGGACCAGCTTTTGCCAAACCGAAATCTGAAAGCTTTGCATTGTATTCCTGGAAATTATATGGATTATGCAACAGTTACAACACATTGAACAGTAACATGTGACATTTACTTGATTACTTCAATCACATACCGTATCAAGCAAAATGTTTGACGTCTTGAAATCTCTGTAAATGACAGGTTCGGTTCCTCCATGGAGAAAGGCTAATCCTTTGGCTGCTCCAAGTGCAATTTTTATCCTGTTGGACCAGGGAAGAGGTATGGTCCCTTCAATATTTTTAACAACATCAGTACTTGTTCATTTAAACTAATCGCAACAGTAAACTAAGCATATCAAGACTACAGGATGTTTTATTTCTAACCCAGGAAATTAATACTAGTGGAGATATATTGTACAATGTATATATAATCATCACTTGATCATGATTGGATATTCTTACTTGTACATGCTTAATCATTAATGCAATGTAGTTCACTGCTTCAAAATTTAGGCTTCACTAAGTCAATAAGTAAAGATTGACCAAGTAACACAAGTCATCCAACTAAACAATGAATTCAGTACCTAGTACTATACATTTGTGATTTTGTTGTTATCCAATGGTTGTTTCAGACTACGGAAAATTGTCACTAGGTGTACAATGTCCAAATAAAAAGAAAAAAGCCGCATCTTAAGTCATTCAGTTAAATTCTTTGCAGTATAATTTGTGTATGGGATATATTCTCTGAGATGAGTAAAAGAAAGTAAAAGTCCCTGCTAGAAAGTTATTTTCAAAGCAATAGTATATATGTTTTCACTCACTTCTGAAAAGATGATTTTCAAGGCTTCCACGGGTCATAAATTCGTAAACCAGTAGCCTTTGGTCATCTTCAATGCAATATCCAATTAGCTTAACCAGATTAGGGTGATGAAGTTGTCCAAGAAAGTCCACTTCAGCCTGCATTGGGGAAATATATTAGTTGTAGGATATGCCATTTATGACCTCCAACCTTCAGTTCGACATTCTTTTACTAACCACGAACACATAATCTACTAACCACCCATTCTCTATGGCCTTGAACACCGTCTGGCTTCAAACTCTTGACGGCAACTGTAGTCCCCGACCCAGGTTTCGCAGGTGCCGTACCATTCTCCTCAATCCATCCTTTGAAGACGAATCCAAATCCGCCCTCGCCGAGAATGCTATCCGGTCTAAAATTTCCAGTTGCTGACTTTAGCTCCTGGAAAGTAAATTGCAGCAGTTGGCGGGGTGCTTCTTTTTCAGCCGGTAGTGGATTGGATTTGGGATCATCAGATGAGCTTCGTGCTTCATCTGGAGCACACATTCCCCTGTTGCTGGCATTGAGGTACCGTGTCTCTGTAACTGTATTAACAGAACCAAATGTTATGGATTAAGCCTAATCTCAAACCCTCAAGCAACAATGATTGCACACACAGAAACATCGAAATTTATAGTAGTTTACTCTAAATGTGAGAGCTACTTCAACTCACTGTCTCAATCACTAGAATTTTACAATGGAGATCTTACACCACAGTCTTTTACCTCTCAAACCACACAAAATACAGTCCCCTCAACTTAATTTATATAGTGTAGGAATCTAGAGAAACCTAATACAAAGACATCAACCCCCATATATCCATATAATAAAAAAAATTTGCACCGAACTTTAATCCGCAGTAGAGAGCATAAATGAGCAGTATAATAGGAGATCAAGACCATAGTTACTGGGGAAGTCAAGATATCATTTATTATTTAACACCTTATTCAAATCAAACATGTTTAAGCATATTGTGCGGGAAAGGAAAAAAAAAAGTAAGCTAACCACACGACTCAGTGCAAAACTGCAACCAACTGCTCTGATCAATTCAAGATTTTGAAAAATAGAAACTTGACAGAAACTGTACGGTAGGTACTCAAATTCAAGGTAATTTCTGATTAAAAACTTCAATATTCTGCCTATGCATATGTCACACAATTAGGTTCAGAAATTCATAGATAAAAAAACTGAATTAATCTATAAAGGGAGAAATATCATAGCAATATATGTACCTGCATCATAAACAAGACTACTTTTAGGGATTGAGTTCGCAGAATTTCTTGAATCAGAGGATTTACGGGTGCCACTAACACTGCGTCTTAAAATAGCCCAACACCCACACTTCTTCTCCATTGCCATTCGTCTCTCTCAATGGATTTGCCTCTCATTGGCTGTCACTGTAATTGATTTCCATTACAGAGAGAGTATTAGAACACAAAGATTTATCATATTTTTTTAGAGAGAAAAACAGAGAGAGATATAGAGAGAGAAGGGAATTGGGTGTTGTAAAAAGATTGATTGTAACCATCATCATCATCACTATCACCATCATGGCATTGGATACAAAAAGAACTTTTTTTCCCACTACTTTTTTTTCTGTGGGGAATGCCATTCTCTCTCTATTTCTTGAAACAGCTTAAATTCTGGTACGAGAAAATTACTAAAAGGGGCATTGATTGGAAATATGTGCATTTGGAATTTGCTTATTTTTACCAAGTGCTTATTTGAAATAACTTAAAAAGTTATTTTAAAAAATTGAGATCAAAGTCAATAATTAATTTTTACCACACATTTTATAAAATTTATCACATTTTATTAATTTTTCAATCCCACATTCCCTCGACTTTTATTAAAATTTACTAATTTTTTTATCAAAATCTTGTTGCGCCTCTCAAAAATCCCTCACACCGTCACACGATTATGGGACATGGGGGGTCTAGTTATTGTTGGTCAAGTTTAATATTTTTTTTCTTACAAGTACTTGAGAGATTTTTACCATAAACTAACTTAAATTAAGGTGGGCATCCTTATATCAAATTTTAATGAACTTAGATCATGTTTGATTGCAACGCATTTCATGGAAAATGTCACATTCGAAGAAAACAGATTTCACTTTGGCCGTTTGATTGTAACGTGGAAATGGAAACCGAATTCCAAGGTACCACCACTTTAAGCTGCATTTTCTTTATTTTCATGGAAAATGAATTCTTATAGATTTTGTGGATTTTTATTTTCCAACTAACATCGAATTTGAATTATTTTTCACATTTGCCTATCAAACGGATCTTAATGATTCATATAGAACCAAAAGTAGCCAATTCAGTTTAGTTTTGCTTAAAATTTAACTGATTTCAAACTGAGAACCAAAGGTCGTTGTCTGGTTCTTAGTTTTACTTACACAATTCAAAGTGAAAATTCATTTTATCGTTTGAAAGTGAAATAAGAATATTTACATAATAGCTTACATTGTACATTTGTTTTTCGGGAAGATAAAAGGAAGCGTACCATATTAGAAACAGTCATTTTTTATTCTATCCGACACTGTTGTACATGGAATTGTTTTATTCTGTCTAAAATTGTGAGTATAATTCTTATTCGAATTCAATCGTACCTTTTCCACCCCTATTTTCAAGTATGAATGTAAGTTTGACGGTATGTAGATCTTTTTTGTTGATCAAGAGTGATTTAAGGATAATTACTTATAAATAAGTATAAATTACTTATAAGCTAAACTAAACATGATGTCACATCTCCCACTTCCTATGTAACTGTGAGAAAAGTTTGCCATTTCTCACTTTTTGCAAAAGAGAAAATCGCTATAGTAAGATTTGTTTGATAAATTGGTACTAATTAGATGTCTAGTTCAATCAAAATTATGCTTCCTACAAAACATTGCTTTAATACTTTAAATTAGAGAGAATTAGACAAGATAACGAACAAATATCTATGGTGAATAACATAAAAATTTAATCAATGGATATTATAAGGAAATATTCTACTAATTCAAAAATTTATATTGTCGTAATGAGTAGTCGCTAAATATGGATAAACGTAATACGAGGCCTCGAAGTATAAACATTCAAATTTCACATCAACTATGTTCTTAAACATATTCATAGTTTAATTTTTCTCTCTTTACAACATTTTAAGTAAAACAATGCTATCTGGCAACGAAAATATTTAACACCAGTTTACGTGTCAACACACGATAAATTCAATTAAATACAATTGATTCATGCTCGATAGCATTACTCTTTCTAAGTGTCGGAGTGTTTCGGAGAGAATTCGTCGCCTATGCAAGCAAAATTTGATGTTCACGACCAACTAAATACAACTAAAATAGAAAAAGTTAAAATCGTTCTTTATTTTAATCGTGTTCTTTTATCGCAACTAATAAGTTGGGAGAGAATAGCCTAAAAAAGTAAATTATTTAAGCTTCTGGAAGATTAGCAAGCATGCAATTGGGTAATTTAGAAATTTGTTAAGCTCATTGATTGATGTTGGAAAGAAGTAAAGGCAAAAAGAATAACTTTTGGTCATGTCTCTCCAACATAATAATTAATTATCATCAATTTCTCTATTATTAGAATTGAATTGATGTTGTCTTCAATTATTAGAAATTCAAAATCCCCGCCTTCTTTATATGATAATTATGAAGAAACGTGTTATAAAATTAGAACGGGAAATTCGCCGTAATAATTTGATATTTTTGCCAGTAAAAAAGTATTTATAGAGTTTATAACAAATTATTAAAGATTCAGAAACCAACGCGAACTCCAAAATTATTATGATAAAAAAAATTTTATATGTTCAATAAATATTTAAGTAAATTGTGAAAAGGACTAATAAATTACAAGAAGTTATTAATTAATCTAAAATGAATATTAAAGCATTAAAATATTTAACATTTAAAACTAGTTTTCAATATTTTATTATTTTTGAATATAATTAGTATTATGATGAGAATACTAATTGGGAAATTTTCTCCCGGTCCCTAAACATTACCAATTGTCTCACTTGGATCACCATTCTTTTTTTTTTGTTGTTGTTTTTAGGTCCCCTAACGTTTCCTTTTTGGTGCATGTAGGGACAAGTAGACAAAAATTGTACAATTTTTCATCAAATACTCACTCGAAAGAAGTGTGACCAATTCTTTTAGAGGTATTTCTATGTATTCATAACTTAAGTTCTTCATTCTTTCAATTTCTCTATTATTAGAATTGAATTGATGTTGTGTTCGATTATTAGAAATTCAAAATTCCCACCTTCTTTATACGATAATTATAAAGAAATTGTTATAAAATTGGAACTGGAAATTCTCCGTAATAATTTGATATTGTAGAGAATATATCAAATTATTAAAGATTAAGAAACCAATGCGAGCCTCCAAAATTATTCTGATAAAAAAAATATTTATATTTTCTATAAAATATTTAAATAAATTGTACTTGTTGGTCTACATTGTGATAAAACAAATACAATTAAATAAAGAAAAAAATGAAATGGCTCAAAAGAAATTGTGCAAAAACTATTTTTCAGTTATATTTCATTTAAATTCACTTTTTAAAATATTAATTTATAACATATATGGAAATTGATATTTAATAGTTTAAAGCATTATTTATTTACGACAAATTTAAGAATATCTAGTTTTTAAGATTGTTTTGTGAACGTTTAACAATTTTTAATCTTATTTTTACATAAAAAGTAATATTTCAAATTAAGGGCATAGCTGTAATTAAGAAAATCAAAGATAGTGAAAGGGTAATTATATATACACACAAAAGTTTTTGTTTGCTACCTTTCTTTAATTGCAATGACGATCCTCGATTTTTATTCAATGTCGTACTTATGTCTCTAACGTTTTTGCTGCATTCTTATCCTCAAATTTCTAATAACTAGTTCATCTTATCATTGTTGACGACTTCCATCCAAGAAATTCATCGGTAGGATATAAAAAGACTTATTTGTCCCTCACATCTTTAAACAAGTAAGAAACAACAAATACAAAAGTCAAACAAAATCTTTTTCCCTCATTTCAAAGTATGTTAATATAATATTTGGACAAAAATCATTATCAAGAACAAGATATGCTAATTAATATTAAAGATAAGAAATGTAGCGAGAAAAAGTTGGGGACATAACTTTCATTCAACTAAATAATGAAGCACTAGATAAATTATTGTATGAATTGAAGTATTTTAGATTGACTAATACTTGAATATTAAATTATTTAAATCTTTAACATTTAAAATTAGTTTTCAACATTTTATTATTTTTGAATATTAGTAGGGGTGTCCAAAAGTCTCGAACCGAACCGGACCGAACCGAACCCGAACCGAACCGAACCGAACCGAGCGGTTCTTCAAAAATTAAATACCCGAATGGGTACCCGAATCGAGAACCGATGGGTTTGGGTCGGGTCTCGGGTCTAGACCAAGAACCGAAGAACCGAACAAGAACCGAAACTAAATAATTTTTTTATTTTTTATATTGAATTAATTAAATTATTTTATTTTTTTCC